TCCTCCTCCTCCTCTCCTCCTCCTCCTCCTCCTCCTCCTCCTCCTCCTCCTCCTCCTCCTCCTCCCCCCATCAAGACCAAACAAAGCTAACTCAAAACAGCCCCGCATGTGAAACACCTACGCGGGTGCCGCGGGCTGGGCGGCGGGGCGCGGCGGCCCCTCGGCGGCCCTACTTTAGCCTTGATCACCAGAAAGAGCTCCGAGCGCCAAAAAAGGTACCGAAACTCCAGGTGTTCCACGTGTTGGGCCCTGGGATACACTCGTCCGACACTGTTCCGATACTGTTGCGACACTTTTCCGGGTGCTCGAAATTATTTCTGGGATGTGGTCTTTTAGTGCGATGGGAGCAACATAAACCTCGCCGCACCTCGCCACGTCCTGGCCGTACCCAGATCCCCTCGGGTCGTGAAAAATCACGACGCGGGGGGGGTATGTCGTTTTTGTTGCTCCCTCGCCCTCGCTGGGCCTCGGGGCCGTCCAAGAACGACTCGGGGTGAAAGGCTGGCTCCTGCGAGTGGGTCGAGACCTCGGGGGGTCGACGGCTGACGGGGGTCTGGGCGCCTCGCCGCTCCCTCGCCGCACCTCGCCACTCCGCGCACCGATCGGCGAGGTCGTCACCTTTCTGGTCAGGTGCCTTTCTGGCCCGGGTCGGTGCACCCGCGTGCGCGGCGACCTCGCGGGCTGCGCAACCCGTAGGGGGGGGCCGCCGAGGCAGCGGCACTGGTCTCGCCATGGCCGGGTCCGCATCGGCCAGGATGGACCCCATCCACCTGCTCCTCCTCCTCCTCCTCCTCCTCCTCCTCCTCCTCCTCCTGCTCCCCCTCCCCCTCCTCCTCCTCCTCCTCCTCCTCCCTCCTCCTCCTCCTCCTCCTCCTCCTCCTCCTCCGCCTCCTCCTCCTCCTTCCCTTCCTCTCCTCCTCCTCCTCCTCCCTCCTCCTCCTCCTCTTCTTCCTCCTCCTCCTCCCTCCTCCTCTCTCCCCTCTCTCACTCCTCCTCCTCCTCCTCCTCCTCCTCCTCCTCCTCCTCTTCCTCCTTCCTCCTCCTCCTCCCTACCTCACCCTCCCCCTCCCCCTCCCCTCCCCCCCCCTCCTCCTCCTCCTCCTCCTCCTCGATCGAGTCTGAGCGCATTTTCGGAGGGCGCCATACAGTGGGGGCCCATGCCACGCTGGTGCGGACTGCCTCTGCCTCGCCACCGACGGAGAAGTTGAGGGAGACGGATCTTGAGGAAGACGGGCCCCAGACGTTGTTCCCAGCTTTTGCTTCCCAGGATCGTGGACCGTCGAAGAAAACAACGGAGGCGCCGCCGTGGCGGACGCTGTCCGCTTAAGAGAAGTTCCGGTCGCCTGCCCAGCAGCGGCCGGTATCAGTGTTGGACAACAGTTGTTGTTGGCCATCGGACCCGTGCTATCCGTAATGTCCAGAACCTGTTTGAATTGATGACCTTCCCAGCCCGCCCACCCCCTGGATCCTGAGTGCCAATACTTCGCCTACTAACAATGTGTATGTTGAGTGACGCCATTTGGAATATAGTGTTGGACAATAACGCTGATATAACTATCTCGATGTATACGCATATGCCTACATATATGCATGCATACAAACATACTGGCATACAGACACACAGACATACACATGAGTGCGTCTTGAACATTCTTATGTATACATATATATACATATATGTATATCTAGATATCAATGTACACGTGTGCAAGTTTGTGTGTGTGCATGCATGTATGCATATATATAAGTACGTATGTGTTTACGTAGGCGTCCATGTTTGTATGTATGTTTAGTTGCTTATGTGTGTGTGCTTGTTTGTTTGTTTGTTTGTATGTTTGTTTGTATGTTTGTATGTATGTATGTATGTATGTATGTATGTATGTACGTACGTATGTATGTATGTATGTATGTGTGTATGTATGTATGTATGTATGTGTGTGTATGTATGTGTGTATGTATGTGTGTATGTATGTATGTATGTATGTATGTGTATGTATGTATGTAATGCGTGTAACGTGTATTTGTTTGCATGCATGTTTGTATGTCTGTGTGTATGTATGTATGTTTGTGTGTATGTATGCATGCATGTATGTATGTAGGTGAATGCATATACGTATGTGTGTATGTATGTATGTGTGTAGGTAGATGTGTGTCAAGACACCCAGACATACGCATGCACTCGCGTGTGCTGGCAACCACGTATCAAGTTTACGTGTGCCCCGATGCAGAGCCGGCTTCGATCGACGGGATATTGTATATGCGTGCGCGGACGCTTGCTTGCGCGCGGTGGCATCCAGTCTGCGCGTTCGGGAGTCTTCGGTGCCAGATGGGCGCAGCGCCGCCGCGCGCGCCTCGTTCCCGCGCCGTTTTCGACGTTAGATCACGCGCCAAGCGATTGGCGTCCGCGTCCGCGCGTATGTTTTCCGTGCGCAATGGGCCAGGGCCGAATGCGCTACACGGCGGAAACGTGTGCGCCAATCCATGTTGAGGCCCAGAAAGCAAGTGAAGCAGGTACTTTGTCTCCACCAGATTTCGGGTTACCCACGCGTTGGTGGGGCACCTGTGCAGCGCGCGCTACACAGGGGAAGCGTATGGAGTAGGAGCGCACCAAATCATCCCGAGGCCCAGCTGCAAGCGAAACGACTGGTGTCTCTCAGCCAATGTTGGGGCGACCCACCCGCTGGCAGCTCACCTGTGCGGCGGGCGTTAAGCCATAGAAGCGCGTGGAATACGAATGCACCAGCTCATGCCGAGGCCCAGAGCGCAAGAGAAACAATTGCTTATCCCAACCAGACCTCGGGTGACCCACCCACTGGTGGGTCGCCTTTTCGGTGCGCGCTACACGAGGGAAGCGCGTGGATCATGAATACACCAACTCATGTTGAGGCCCAACATGCGCATGAAGCAGTTGTTTTTTCTCAACTACTTTTCGGGTGACCCGCACGCTGGTGGGTCACGTGCGCGGTGCACTGCACGGTAAACGTGTGGAGTCCGAATGTACCAACTCAAGTCGAGGCCCAGCATGCACATGAAACCGCTGGTTTGTCTGAACCGTTTCTCGGATGGCCCACCCGCTGGGTGGTCACCTATGCGGCGGGCGCTACACGAAGGAACCGTATGGAGTACGAATTCGCAAACTCATGTAGAGGCCCCGGATGCCAGTTTAACAATTGTTTCCGTCTCAACCGTTTCTCAGGTGACCCACCCGTTGGTGGGTCACCGGTGGTGTGCGCGCTGCATAGGGGAACCGCGTGGAGTGTGCCAAGTCATGTTGAGGCCCAAAGTTCAAGTGACACATCGCGGCGTTCTTAACAATTATCTAGATCACTCACCCGCTGGAGGGTCACGTGTGCGGCGCGCGCTACACAGGGGAAGAGCGTGGGGTACAAGTTCACCAACTCATGTCGAGGCTCAGAGTGCCAGTGAACCACTTGGTTTGTTATTCAGTATTCGGGTGTCCCACCCGTTCGTGGGTCACTTGTGCGGTGCGCTACACAAGGGAAGCGTCTGCAGTACGAATGTACCAGTTCATGTTGAGGCCCAGAATGCCAGTGAAACAGATGTTAGTCTCAACCAGCTTTAGGTTCCCCAACCAGATGTTATGTGAGCCATTCCTCTGGTGACCCACCCGCATGTGGGTCACCTGTGCGGCGCGTTCTGCAGGGGCAACCTGCGGAACTCGAGTGCAACAATTCATGTTGAGGCCCAGAATGCCAGTGACATAATTGGTTTTTCTTAACCATGTTCCAGATGACCTGTCCGTTGTTAGGGTCACCAGTGTGGCGCGCTACAAACGGGGACACGTATTGAGTACGAGTGCACCAACTCATATTGTCGCCCACAATGCACCTGAGACAATTGTGTTTGTTGTTGGTTCCTGAACTTGTTTTCTGTTAGGCCACCTGTGCGGCTCTCGCTGCACATGGGAAGCGCGTGGAGCTCGAACGCACAAAACCATTATGATGCCCAGAATGCCGGTGTTGCACGTGAATCTTCTGGAGTACGAATGCACCAACTCATGTGGAGGCCCAACTCATGTGGAGGCCAAGTGAGATATTTGGTGGGTCTCAACCAGAATTGGCGTGACCCGGCCGTTGGTGGGTCACCTGTGCGGCGCGCTACACAGGGGAAGCGTGTTGAGTACGAATGCCCCAAGTCATGTAACAGGACGAAAACGACGACGACGATGATGACGAGCAGCAGCAAACACAGCGGGTATGGTGAGCTGAATTGGAGGAGGACGACGATGTGGGAAGGGGGGGGAGAAGGAGGAGAAGAAGAAGTGAGGAGGAAGCCGACGAGGAGGCTGATAATGCGAATAGACGTCCTGTCAGCTCTTTACCGTTTGGTGCCCGCGGGGGCCAGCTCGAGAGGGAGAGAGGGAGAGAGAGAGAGAGAGAGAGCGAGAGAGAGAGAGAAGGAGACAGCAGGACGAGGAGGAAGAGGAGGAGAAAGGCGGCAGGGAGGCATGCGACCAGGATATCAGGAGGAGTTGCTCCGCCAGGAGGCCCAACGAGGCCAGAAGACGTCAATGTTCTTCTGTTCGCCCCCCTTTCGTCTCTCCGCCCCCGTCATAGTCCTCCTCCCTCTCCTCTCCTCCTCCGCCTCCTCTCTCCTCCTCCCTCCCTCCCACCCTCTCCTCCTCCGCCTCCTCCTCGACACCCCGGGCGACGTCTCACGCGCGCGGAGGAAGAAACGGAGGAGGAGGCGGAGGAGGAGGAGGAGAGGGCGGGAGGAGTTGGTGGCGGAGGAGGAGGAGGAGTCGGAGGAGGATGAGAAGGAGGAGTAGGAGGCGGAGGAGGAGGAGGAGCAGGAGGATGAGGAGGACGGGAACGAGGGGGAGGGGGAAGAGGAGGAGGAAGAGGAGGAAGAGGAGGAAGAGGAAGAGAAGGAGGAGGAGGAGGAGGAGCAGGAGGAGGAGGAGGAGGAAAGAGACAGGTGGAGGGGGCAGGGAGAGAGGGACAAGGATGAGGAGAATCAGGAGGAGGGGGAGGTGGGAGGAGGAGGTGGATGAGGAGGAGGTCGATGAGGAGGAGGTGGATGAGGAGGAGGATGAATTGGAAGAGACGGCGTTGGAGGAGAAGGCTGGGGAGGAGGAGGAGCTCCGCGCGCGCAGACCCCTCTCTCCTCCTGGCCCCGCGGGGAGGACGGACCGAAACCTCTCGCTGTGGCTCGGCCAGAGACCCAGAGGCGGGGTGCGCGCGCGGCGTCCGCGGGAGCCGCGGCGACGGCTTGCAGCAGCGAAGGCGGCAGCGAAGGCGGTATTCGGCGGCGGCAGCGGTGGGTTGCGAGGGTGGCAGCGGTTGGCGGCGGCGGCCGTGGGTGGAGGCAGTGCGGCGGGCCTCTCGAAGGCCAGATTGGGCAGGTGGTTCCCCGAATGCCATATGAGCGACGCTACAAGAAAAGGGTGCCGTTTGCGCTGGCAACGCGGAAGTTGCCCGCGTAAGGTCGCGCGTAAGTGCCTCCGTTTCCAGCGTAGCGTGCCGCGTTGGCGGCCCGCGTAAGCCACCGTGTAAGGTCGCCATGCCATCTCGCGTAAGCCCCGCTTCCTTTTGCCGCTCAGAATGGAGGAGGGGGGAGAGGAGGAAGAGGCGTGTGCGTCGTGCCGCCACGGCCTGGGCTGCAGGGGGCCCGTGCACAGCTTGGGTGCGGGAGGCCATGTCGGTGGGCGGCAAGGACGAGGAGGAAGCCACGTGACGGGGAGGCAGGGAGGAGGATTCAGGTCAAATGCGCGGGAGTCATTTGAGGAGTTTCGCAGGGCTTTTGGCATGCCAAATGGGGAGGAAGTAGGCGGCAGCTGGACAAATGGAGGTCTCCATAGTTCCCAGAGGTCGTTGACGGACCCCAGGAAACTTCTGGAGGCCTCGAAAGAGCCAGACATCGCCCAGACGCCTCGACCCTCTGATTAGAACTGATGAGGAGGAGGACGACGACGACGACGATAACAACGACGGCGAGGAGAAGGGGATGGAGGGAAAGAGTGATGCAATTGGGGCGGGACAGCGAAGGATCAGGAGGAGGTAGGAAGAAACGAGGATGGATGGATGGATCCCCGTGGGGAAGGGAGGGATGGGGGGAGTGAAACGGGAGACAAAGCATGAGGAGGAGGAGGAGGCGGAATGGGTAGGGGAAAGAAGGAGGAGGGGGAGGAACAAGGCGGGAGTTGCACGAGGAAGAGGAGAGGGAGGTGGGAGGAGGAAGTACGAGGATGAGGCTGAGGATGTTGATGCTGATGTTGGTGCTGCTGCTGATGCTGATGCTGCTGCTGCTGTTGGTAACGATGATGATGATGATGATGATGATGATGATGATGATGATGATGATGATGATGATGATGATGATGATGATGATGATGCTGATGCTGATGATGATGATGATGATGATGATGATGGTGGTGTTGGTGATGGTGATGATGATGGTGATGATGATGATGATGATGATGATAGTGATAATGATGATTGGTATGTTGATGGTGATTGTGATGATGACGACGACGATAGTGATGACGAGAATGTGACGATGACGATGTCATGGTGATGATGGTGGTAACGAAGATGATGACGACGCTGATGATGGTGACGATGGCGATGACGATGATGATGACGATGATGATGATGATGATGATGATGATGATGATGATGATGATGATGATGATGATGATGATGATGATGATGATGATGATGATGATGATGATGTGAGGGCGGGAGGGAGGGCGGAAGGGAAGGAAGGACGGGAGGAAGGAAGGGAGGAAGGGAGGGAGGGGGGGAGTGAGGAGGAGGAGGAGGAGGCCCAGAGCAAGACCAGTAAGCATCAACGATGCTGCAATACGTCTTCCCCTCTAAAGTCCCCTCCTTGCGAAGCCTTACAAGAAACAGGCCCGCCACCCCCTCGAAACACCTTATGGACCTGCCATTCAGGCGAGATCCTTGTTCTGGAGCGCAGCTGCAATGCATCTTCTCAGAGGCTGGGCAGGAATACGAAGTAGTGCAATCGTAACATTCTACGAGCTGTCCAGCGAGGTCCCCGTTCTGAGAAGGACCTCCCTTCATCTGTGCAGCCCTTGCAAAGGCTTGCACCTCTGGTTGTGCACCCCGAGGTCGTATCGAGCGAGAGCCCTGGCTTGAAATGGAACCGCACTCCATCCGTGCAGCTGGCATATCTATACATGTACATATAGATATGTCCAAGGTTCGGGTTTCTCAGGCTGGAAGGAATGAGACGACGAGATCCCCATCTGGGAAATGCCCTGCCGCTGCTGCAGAAGGGCACGCCCGAGTGCGCGCGGCGCTGGTGCGAGAGCCCCACGGTGAAGAAGAAGCGCCCGCCCTCCTCGAAGCCGATGCCGCCCGGTGAGGCGCTGCGCGCTCGTTCCCTGCTGCTGCTTCCACGCCGTGGGCTCGTGCAGCCCACGGGCTGCGAGGCTCCGCGTGGCCGCGGGGGAGGCTCCTTGAGGGGCACGCGCCCGCCGCCAGGCGACGCCGACGCGCCCGCAGGCCGGGGGCCCCCGGTCCGGAAGGCCCTGCACGACAAGGGCTTCGCGTTCGCACGGAGCCGCAACGCCAGGCGCCGCGCGCCCCCGAGGGGGCGGAGGACGGAGGCGGAGGAGGAGGATCGGTTAGGAGGGAGGAGGAGGATTGAGGCGGAGGGGAGGAGGAGACGGAGGAGGAGGAGACGGAGCGGAGGCGGAGGGGAGGAGGACGGAGGCGGAGGAGGCGGGGCGGAGACCCATGCCAAGGAACGCCCTGCTTGCCCCCAGGGTGCCCTGGGTGTCTCGGGTTTCGAGGGTTTTTTTCCAATGGAAAGCGCGACGTTCCCACACCAAGAATCAGTGGACGCCCTGGGGGCTCAGGGTCGGGCTTCTTGTGGAAGGTTTCTTTTTGTCGGGCCTCCACGGTAAGAGTGACCCTTCGCCAGAGTGACCTCTGGTGCGGGGCTCTGTGGGCGGGCGCGCGGGGGCATCACCCAAGCACGCCAGCCGGTGCTGTCGCACCAGACGCAAGGATCAGCAGGCCGCGCACCAAGGGCCACTCATGCTAAGGGTCACCCTTTGCGCGTGCCCGAGAGGAGGGAGGTGGAGGGGAGGGAGGGAGGGTGGGCAGGGGGGGGGAGGGAGGAGCAGGTCAGGGGAGGGAGGGGGAGGAGAGAAGACGGGGTGAGGGGAGCGGAGGGAGGGGGAGGGGAGGGAGGGGAGGGAGGGGGAGGAGGGGGAGGGAGGGGGATGGGAGGAGGGAGGGGAGGCGTGGTTCGGCTGCCCTGCCCTGAGGTCGCGGTGCAGGACGGGTTCAGGTTGCGCACGGGGGGTGCGCAGACACGTTCGCCTCGCAAGGGGGCGGTAACGGAGATGGTGGGGAAGGGGAAGGGGATGGGGAGGGGGGGAGGGGAGAAGGACAAGCTAGGTGTGCTCGCGTCGTATCTGACGTCCTACCCCTCGCTCCCATCCCTTACTATGGCGTAGATCTCCTCTCTGCTCGCCCAGTTGGATGTCGCAGCAGGGCATATCATTGTATAGCATAGCATGGTGTTGAAGATCAACGCATACCCTGAAATAGCATGGGATGGGGGGCTCCTGTGGCCCAAAATTTCAACGAATCGACACCGAATGTGTAATCATTTTCGATGGTTGTTTCGGAGGGCATTTTCTAGATTTTGGGGCCTATTTGGAAGGACCGAAAACCATGCCGTGGCATGGTGCTGGAAATGATGACGCCAGCGCTGCAGCGGGAGCACGATTCGGAACGAACGGAAGCGCGGAAATGAGGCCAGCGCTGCAGCGGGAGCACGATTCGGAGGACGCGTACCCTGACATAGCATGGCGTGGCGACGCCCCAGGGGGCGCTTCCGCGAACCAAAAATCAACGAGTCGGCACCGAATGTGTAATCACTTCCGATGGTTTTTGTCGGGGAGGCATGTTTTAAGGTTTGGGGCCTATTCGGAAGGACCTAAAACCATGCCGTGGCATGGCGCTGGAAATAATGACGCCAGCGCTGCAGCGGGAGCACGATTCGGAACGAGCGGAAGCGCGGAAATGAGGCCAGCGATGCAGCGGGACACGATTCGGGTATCCCGAAAATGAGGCCAGCGCTTCAGCGAGAACATAATTTGAAAACCCAAGCGAAAACCATCACCCTGGAATCCTGTGTGTGAAAAAAAGCATACGCGGAGGGGGGGCGAACCTTTCCCAGACGTCACTAGGAGAGCGAGGAGAGTAGTAATATGTATGTATATATATATACATGTACATATGTGGTGTAATTGTAGAGGAGAGGGAGGACAGCAGGAGGAGGAGGAGGATGAAGAGGACTTGGAGGAGGAGGAGGAGGAGAAGGAGGAGGAGGAGGAGGAGGAGGCTGCCTGGGCTGCCGGGGGCACCCGCCCGCGCGGCACCCCACCAGCTCCCATGCTGGGGGGGCCGCCGGGTGGACCCCTCCCCGGGGGCTCAAGGCCGGGCGCCCCCCGCGTCAGCGTCGGGCGTCAGCCGGAAAGTTCCCGGCCGGGGAGGGTACGAAGGTTGGGCGCTAGGGGACCCGCCTGCGAGTAGGTGCCCGCGCCGGGCGGCCCGGCCGGGCGCGGCGCCGTGACCGAGCGGCGTCGTCAAGCGGCTCGGAAGGAAAGAAAAGAGGAGGAGGAGGAGGAGGAGGCGGAGGAGGAGGAGGAGGAGGAGGAGGAGGAGGAGGAGGACGGGGGGGAGGGGGAGAAGGACCGCAAAGAAGGAGGGCCCGCACACAGAAGGAACAGTCGTCGCGCTCCTCGGTGCATTGCTGCGGCCAGCTTCCGCTGAGCTTGGCGAGTCGGGATTCTGCCCCTTCGCGGAGGCGGCGAGATGAGAGCGAACTGCTGCACTGCTGGGCGAGATCGCCACACGCACCTGCGAAGCCACCGAGCGAATGCGCACCCTCACACCTTGACAGGCGCACAGCCTCTGTGCCATTGCGGTCGTGGAGCCAGACCTTCTCCTCCTCCTCCTCCTCCTCCTCCTCCTCCTCTTCCTCCTCCTCCTCCTCCTCCTCCTCCTCCTCCTCCTCCTGGCCCGTGCCGCCGAGAGTCGACTGAGAATCGAGGACCGCGCGCTTGACGTAGCTTTGCTCGCAAGTGAGCTGGACACCGCAGAGCCCGCCTGCAGAATTCAGCCCCCAAGTCCCGATAGATTTGGCAGGCCGGCGGATGTCCAGGCGACTGGAGAAGTCTCGGGCCGGACGAAAGGGGGGGATATAGGGAAAGGAGGGGTTGCAAAATTTGCTGCAGGCAGCTGGTTTCGGCCCCGCCGCCGGCCCATTCTTCGATACATAGCCGCCTCTGGCGCTGGGAGGCGCCGGGAAAATCGGCTACGTGAGCTGATTCTCAAGCCCCCCCTTTGCTATCCCCCCCTTTCGCCCGGCCCGAAAGTCGTGGATCCGCAGGCGGCTTGTGCTCACCGCGCCGCGGTGGCGTCTCTGGAGGCGTCGTCGATCCTCGACCCTGACATGCTATGGTGCGTAGGTGTTGGGTCCTCAGGGCCGAAAGAAATGCACTGTGCCACGTTGGCCACCGTTGGAGCGGGGCCTGAGGGGAGTCCAAACATGGTACGGCGCGTGGGAGAGAGGAGGACGAGGGGGACGAGAGAGTACGGGAGGAGGAGGAGGAGGAGGAGGAGGAGGAGGAGGAGGAGGATGAAAAGGAGGAGGACACGAGGAGGAGGAGGAGGAGGAGGAGGAGGACGAGGAGGAGGAGGAGGACGAGGAGGAGGACAAGGAGGACGAGGAGGAGGGGGAGAAGGAGAAGGAGGAAAGAAACAGCAAGAGCCGCTGAACTCTCCACGAGCGCGTCCCGGGCCGGCGGCTCCTCGCGTCCACCCTTTTGCCGGGAGCTCTGTTCCTGCCACGCATGTGGTCGGGCATCGCGGCTGGCAGTGTCTTCGTCGGCCCCGCCCGCCACGCCCTGCAAACGCCTTACTCTGTTGCAGGACGGCCGCTTCTCCGGCCGCTTTTTCCCTGCCCTTCCTCCTCCTCCTCCTCCTCCACCTCCTCCTCCTCCTCCTGCTGCTCCTCCTCCTCCTATTTAGCCGCAATTTCAGACACGGAACGCCTGCGAGCGGCCAGTTCTCAAGATTGATACCCTCATCTCCGAATTAGAGCAGAAAGGAGGGGGGGGCGCACGGGGGCACGCACTGCATGCACGGAGGTTGTTCGCAGCATCGTTCCCCATGGGGCGCATCGGCCGGGAGCGTGGCACGCCGGGCGCAGGGCAGGGTGCCGAACCTTCCACTCGGGCGTCGCGGTTGGATCACGGGCGCTTCCTGGATGGGGCGAGCTGGCTGACGAGAGCAAGAAGAACCCTTCCAAGGGGGGGGCACGGGCCACACGCAGTTGACCGTGGACATCGCCAGCCAGGAGCGGATCGACGTCAAAGCGAGCATCGCGGAACGCCAGCAGAGCATCGAAGGTCACCAGCAGATCACCGCTTACAGCCAGGAGCGACTAGATGTCTTCGAGGCGAGCACTGGGGGCCGCCAGCAGGGCATCCCGGACCACCAGCCGAGCTCCGCCAACGGCAGGGGCGCATGGCCGTCGACAGGATGAGCACAGCCGACAGCCAGAAGGGCACCGATGTCGACCAGCGGCGCGCCGCCGACAGACATGGGAAAATGTACGACGACAGTGAGAAGATAGCTGGCCAGCAGCATAACCTCGAGGGCAACCAGCAGCGCACGGCAGACTGCCAGCGGAGCAACACGATCAAGCAGTTGTGCACCGAGAGCTCCTTGGCTAAAGACATCGGCGACATGAGCAACGTGGATATCCTGCAAGACATCGTGGGCGATTTTGGGAACCACTTGCAAAGCCTAGGGCATTACAAGCGTGGGGTTGATGACCTACGAGAGCTGGGTCAACGAGGCGGGCACCCGCCTGCTCGGCATCTCTGGTGGGCAATACGAGGGGAAAGAGCTTCCTGCATCGAAGACGGCTGCTCGACCAACGCCATTTGAGCAAGGAGTGCCTACAACAGAGCACCGGCACGTACCAGGAGCACACGGACGACGACCAGATGAGTTGCGCAGGCGAGCAGCACACAAACGAGAGCAATTTGCAGAGTTCAATCGGGCGTCAGCAGTGCACAGCACACAATCAGATGAGCTCTGGAGGCATCCTGCCCACAAGTACGTTCAACGAGATGTACGATTACGACGGCCAGAAGGCGCAGTGATAGATGACATTTAAGACGAGGTAAGGCAACTATCGCAAACAAGTGATTGGTTTTCGCCCCGTAGGCTTCGCGATGAAGGCGAAGTGCCGGCGAGCAAAGATCGCAGTGCAGCGCAGACATGGGCATCGGTTGACATTGTCGCAGTTGACGAGGGAGGTGTCCGTGTCGGTCTGCGCATGTAGTTCGACCCCGTGCCTCACCTTCCCTCTCTCCGCCTTTCAGAAGAATGCTGCAGTGTGACGTTCTCGAGCGTGGCCCATGCGAGGTTCGCTCGAGCGCAACCCCCTGACACGCCCCCCCAAGTCGGCGCTTGCGTTTGGGACTCGGGCGAGAGGTCCGGCCCCGAACGGCGCTTGCGTCGCGCGGGGGCCCGACAGCTGCGCACGGGGAGCCCCATGCCGGAGCGCGGCGGCGCCCAGCACATGCTGGAGCGGCTCCCGCGGGCGGCAGCGCCGACGGCTCCTGTGGCACCGAAGTTCGAATATCTCCCATGGGTCCGCAGCGTGCGGCGGCTGATGTTGATGACCCCCAACGGCTCCACCACCACCACCGCATCCTCCTCCTCCTCCTCCTCCTCCTCCTCCTCCTCCCCCCCCTCCCCCTCCTCCCCTCCCCCTCTCCTCCTCTACAATTACTCAATATGAATATACTCTCCCTCTTCCCCTGATGGCGTCCGGGTGATAGCCGCGCACCCTCCGCGTACTGTTTTTTAACACACAGGATGCCCGGGAAATCCCGGGAGACGACTCTCGCTGAGGCGCCGGCGTCATTTGTTCCCAAAATGCTGCTTTCGCGCCGGCGTCATTTTTTCCCAAAATGCTGCTCTCGTTGAGGCGCCGGCCTCATTTCTGCTCCCGAATCCTTCCCCTGATGGCGTCTGGGTGATAGCCGCGCATCCTCCGCGTACTGATTTTTACACAGGATGCCCGGGAAATCCCGGGAAACGACTCTCGCTCAGGCGCCGGCGTCATTTTTTCCCAAAATGCTGCTCTCGTTGAGGCGCCGGCCTCATTTCTGCTCGCGAATCGTTCCGAATCGTGCTCCCGCTGCAGCGTGGGCCTCATTTTCGGATCGGTGTTTGGCCTCCGTCGTTCAGGATGGCGTTCTCGCCCCAGCGCGGGCCTTTCTCTCGCGCGCCCATCCGCCCGCCACCACCGCGCCGCACCGCCACCACCACCACCACCACCACCACCACCACCACCACCACCACCACCACCACCAGCATCAACCACACCACCACCACCACCACCACCACCACCACCACACACCAACCACCACCACCACGACAACACACACCACGCACGCACGCACGCACGTGCACCACCACCCACTACGCACGCGCGCGCGGAGCCACAGGTCCGCTACGACACGCTTCCGCGGATAGAGAAAATCAGCGCCATGGTAAGGGATGGGAGGGGTAGGACGTCAGATATGACGCGAGCGCACCTAGCTTGTCCTCCCCCTCCTCCCCCCCCTCCTCTCCCTCCTACCCACCACCACTACCTCCTCTTCTTCCTCCTCCACCTCGAGGGCTGGCAGAACAATCGCGCACATCGTCTTACATGGTGCACACATAGACATTCTACCCAACGACCAGAATACGAAATACTTGGGCAGAAACTTATCGTTCCACGACTTCCACGGACATAAGCTGAAAAACAGGATTGCCGCGGGATGGCCGAAGTTTCACCAACTACGGTGCGAGCTTACCAACAAAAAGCTCCCATTGCACAGCGATCTCGGACTCTTCAGCGGCGCGATCACACCATGCGTTATGTACGGTTGCTCTTCATGGACACTCGCCAACGATATGCTCATCACGCTACAACGAACACAGCGGAAAACGCTCCGACTGATCATAAATATGCCGAGAAGACAGAACACGTTGGAAGCAAGCAAACAGACAGCACGCGCCGGCTGCAACACCAACAACGGTACACGTGTCGACATCAACGACACCGAATCCAGCACCGACACCAGGACCGACAACAGCACCAGACGACGACGACGACAACAACACCAGCACCAGCTCTGACCACAGCACCAACACCGAACACAGCACCAGCACCAGCACCAGCACCAGCACCAATCGAAAACAGCGCCAACACCGACAATAGCACCTGCACCGACAACAGCACCAGCACTGACAGCAGCACCAGCACCAACACCGACACCGACACCAGCACCGACAACAGCAACCGACGGAGACAACGACGATAGATCTGAGTCTTGGGTTCATTTCATACGGAGAAGTACCTCCACCGCTTTGGCACACGCCAAACGAGCACGAGTCGACGATTGGACCGACGTGTATTTCAAGCGAAAATGGGCGTTCGCAGCACGCGTGGCCAACCACGATCACGACAGGTGGACACGACTGAGTGCAAGCTGGGACCCATGTACACACGACCTACGCCCAGCATTCCGCCGACATGGCGGGCAAAAGAAGCCTGGGCATGATGGCATTGTATATTATCTACATGACGTCGCCGACACCGGCAACGATTCCAAATGGTGGGTGTTGGCCCAGAACCTACCATGGTGGACGACTCGTGAAGAAGGCTTCTTGGACTATACGCGTCGCTTCCTCCACGCCGGCAACTACAACGAGTGAGTTTTCTAGCGCTCCAGCGCCCCCGCCGGGCTTTCATAGGGCCGTCCCTCCAGGACGTTTTCCGGCGCTCTCTCCCTCTCTCTCTCTCTATCCTCTTCCTCTTCCTCCTCCTCTTCCTCCTCCCCCCTTCCTTTATCCTCCTCCCCCCCTTCTCCTCCTTCTCCTTCTCCTCCTCCCTCCTCCTTTTCCTCCTCCTCCTCCTTCTCCTCTCCCTTATCCCCCTCCTCCCTCCTCTTCCTCTTCCCCGTCCTCCCTCTCTCCTCCTCTTCCTCTCCCTCCTCCCCCCCTCCCCCCTTCCTTTCCCCGCGTCGGCGCAACCCCTGGCGGCGGTGCACTCTGCAGCCGCCGCTCAACTTTTCGGGTCGGAGTCTCGCCTCCTCCAGGACAAGTGTCGTTGACAGATCTGCGGATCTGGGCTCAGGCCTCTAGGTGATTTCGCGTGGGCGCGGCTGTATGCCCCGCGCAGGTGTAGTTGACGCGCACCCCGTGAACGGGAATGCCCACATTTCCAGCGCCCAGACAAAGTCAAGGACGCGGCGTTTCCGCTATTCGACAGTTTGGGGTCGGCCCTGGGACCATCGAGTTGGAGTCGATCGGGAACGAAACTGGCCCTGGGGGAGGGGCCGAGAGGTCCAGGGCCCCCCCGGCTTGGGACGCCGGGTTATCCCAGACGCGTTGTTTCCCCTGAGCTGGTTGTCTGTGTAGGGATATATATATATATACACATAACATATGTATGTATGTATGTATGTATGTATGTATGTATGTATGTATATATAGATACTACACATACCTATACGTTTCAGTCGGGCCCGTCCCTATACAGGAGAAGTATCCAAAAATATTCAAAAATAGTCCGGGCACCATTTTCAAATATTTAAAAACCATTTCGGATTATTTGTTGGGTATTTTTTATTTTTCTTCGAAAATCCCCCTGTAGGGGGACAGACCCGACTTACATATACGTATACATATACAAATGCATACGTATATGTATATACCAGAGAGCGGGGCCGGTGGGCGCACTCCGCGGTCCAATACGGGTGCTCCGTGGTCTCTGGTCGTGGTTCGTGGTCTCTGGTCGTGGTTTGTGGCCGTGGCCTGTGGTCGTGGCTTCTTGTCGTGGTTCGTGGCCTCCGATCTCCTCCATGGTTTCCGCCTGGTCTCCCGTAGCACACAGCGTATATGGATCATTCTCCAAAGAGTGGCTGCATTTTTCGGCTTCGCTCCTATGGTCTAACGAACTGGGCCCCTGACCGTCGGTCTGGCAGCTATGTTGTCGCCGTCGCCGCACCGTCGCCGCCTCCGTTGTGTGGGCCTGACCTTCGGTTTGGCGGCCGCCCCGTCGCCGCCTCGTCGCCGCCCGCCGTCTGAGCCTAACTGTCGGTGTGGCGGGTATGTTGTCGCCACATACACCTATGTGACGCCACATAGGTTGCACCACCTATGTGACACCACATACCCCCCCCCCGGTATATCGATCTCCCCAGGGATGTTCAATTTGGATACGATGCTGCCCAATCGTTCCATCTTAATACGAGCTCATGCCATCCCAGCCAGGTCGTGTTTGAACCCCTCTTCGTTCTTGTCAGAATTTATTACGCGCACACTCGTTGATCACAAATTCACACATCATCAGTTTGTAAGAACACTTGCAGCATTTGAGACGAAGTGCACACACGCGCGCCGTCGCGCGCATGCCAAATCGTTCACAACTCTTAGGTTTCGTAGGGATTTCGAAATCGACTGTCCCTGTAAGCACAATTGCTGGATTTGCTACATGTTCGAAAGTCTGCGCGATCTTTTGAATTCGTGTCAAAACCATCGGTTATTCAACATCCTCACCAAATGCGACCATGCGGGCCTCTGCGCGCGCATGTCGCAATCATTCGAACGCCCTTGCGCGCGTGCTGGTGAGAGGACACGATCCTTGTCAATTAATGTCACGCGGACCTCTCGCGCGCGTCGGCGCGCGCTCATGCCGAAATCCGCTCAAAACCGTGATCACAGACACGTGGACATCGGCGCCATCAGCATCGGCGCCGTCATTGGCGTTGCCGTCGTCATCGCCATCATCGCCGCCAGCATCGCTACTAGAATTATCGTGTCGGCCGTTGTCGGCGCCACCATGATACCGCGCCCGCCCGAGCCACAGACTCGCACTGAAGTGCCCGCGCGTCACTGCGGCCTGCAAGACGCGCTGCGAAGGCACCAGCGGGCAGAGCCACCTCGGCCGCTTCGGTCGCGCCAGGCTAGTCGGTCGCTGCACGCGCGAGCCTGCGCGAGTCTGCGCGCGTCAGCGCGGCCGCAGCGATGTGCCAGCCAGCGCCAAGCAGACACCGCAATCACCGCCGCACGGGTTCTGCAAGCCAACTTGCGGGCGGGTGGGTGGGTGGGTTGACAATCTCCTGGAGGAATATCCGGCTCGACCCTCCACCCCACCCCATCCCAGATTGAACAGGCCACCCTTTCGCATTGCAAGTTGCATAAGATTCTGCCCCGTCGTCCACCCGAACTATGAACCCCTACCATTCCAGGCAGTCCCTGGTCGTCCCCCCTTATCCTTTGCAAAAGCCACCACGTGCCACCAATTCATTGCAGTAGATGGGACGAAGTGTATTCGCCCGCGTCGTCGCGCGAATGCCAAAATGCATCCAAAAAGGAAAGCCGAGGTGTCGTAAGTGTATCAACATCGAGCGGCCAAAGAGCATAGAAAAAACTAGCGGTTTCGGAACGGGAGTTTCCAAAGCAGCATACGCTCGCGCTCTTGCGGTTTCGTGATAAACACACGCTTTTGGTCGCCGGATTGTTTCGCTAATTTCTACCGAAAGTGCCTCTCGCGCGCGCATGCCGAAACCGTTCGAACGCCCTTGCGCTCGTGATCTCTCTGGAATATTTTCCCCCCTCCCCAAACAAATGACGAAGTGCACACGCGCGCGTCATCGCGCTCGCATGCCGCAATTCCTCAAGAACTGTGGGTTCCGTAAGGATTTCAAAATTCGAGTGCCCCGACGAACATAAAACACATGATTTTGCAACATCAAGTTTCAACTGAGGTCTGCGCGCTCGCTCTTGCGAGTTTTTGAAAAACCCATAAGTTCTTTCAACGTGTTCACCAAATTCGACCAGACGGAGCCTTTTGCGCCGCATGTCGGAATCATTCGAAAGCCTTTGCGCGCGTGCTGGGGAAGGGACACGATCCCAGTCAAATGATGCCATGCTGGCCATTCGCGCGCGTCGGCCGCGCGCGCATGTCGAGCTCCCCCAAAAAACATTCATCACCGACGCGAGGACATCGTCATCGCCATCGGCGTGATCAGCATCAGTGCCATCATTGACCTTGCCGTCGTCATCGTCACTATCGTCACCAGCATCGCTACTATCATCAGCCCGGCGGGAAGTGCCCAGCGGTCAGCGTCACCGCGGCCGCGTTGGTCGCGCCAAACTAGCTGGCCGCTGCCCGCGCGGCCGTGCGCGGGTTAGCGCGGCCGCAGAGATGCACCAGCCAACACAAAGCAATCACCGCAATCGCCGCCGCACGGGTTTTGCACATCAAGTTGCGGGTGGGTGGGTGGGAAGATTCCGCGAGCAGCGGGGCTGACAGCTTCAAGTCCGGCAGGGTGATTTGCACCACGCAGAACGCACCACGCAGGTTGCTAGAATCACATTGTCAGGGCCCCACACTGGCCAGCAGGCTGACAAAAAACAAGGGGTGGAGGGAAATCCAAAGGCCAAGGCCCTGTCCCCTAGCCTGTCTCCATACAAGCAGCTTGTCAGGGGCGTCATTTCTCCTCCTCCTCCTCCTCCCCTTCCTCCTCCCCCTCTTCTTCCTCCTCCCTCCTCCTCCTCCTCCTCTCCTCCTCCTCCTCCTCCTCCTCCTCCTCCTCCTCCTCCCTCCTCCTCCCTCCTCCTCCTCCTCCTCCTCCTCCTCCTCCTCCTCCTCCTCCTCCTCCTCCTCCTCCTCCTCCTCCTTCTCCCCTCCTCCTCCTCCTCCTCCTCCTCCTCCTCCTCCCCCTCCTCCCCCTCCTCCTCCCTCCTCCCTCCTCCTCCTCCTCCTCCTCCTACTCCTCCTCCTCCTCCTCCTCCCTCCTCCTCCTCCCCTCCTCCTCCCCCTCCTCCTCCCCCTTCCCCCCTCCGCCCCTTCCCCCCCTTTCTCCTCCTCCTCCTCCTCCTCCCTCCCTCCTCCTCCTCCTCCTCCTCCTTCTCCTCCTCCTCCCCCCCCTCCTCCTCCTCCTCCTCCTCCTCCTCCTTCTCCTCCTCCTCCTCCTCCTCCTCCTCCTCCTTGTCCTCCTTTCTTGTTTTTAATGCATCGGGCGTGTTCGGGTTTGGAAGCTGCCGAGTCTCAGAGACGCGTGCATGCTGGCCAGGTACATAGGGTTCTGGTTCGGCAGCCCGGGCAACGTCGCCCACGATGTGTCCCCCGCTTCCGGAGCAGATCGCCTGGAACGGGAATCTCGGGGGCCCCTAAACAGGGTGGCGACCACACCGTGCGGTGAGCCGGTGGGGATTCGGGGTCACCTCACGGTTTTGGGCCTCGGGTCGTTCTCCTAGGTCGTCTCGGGCCATAGGGGCCTCCAGGGTCCCAAGACCGTGCGGTGACGGACCGTACGGTGAGGTCTTGGGGGATTTCGAGGTCACCGCACGGTCTGTCACCGCACCGTTTCGGGACTCCAAAAAATCCCTCCAGACCGTCATCGTGGCTCCCAGGAGCGCTCTTTCGTGCGATCTTGTTGAATCGGCCAAGGACTTTGGCCTGCCCGTACTGGCGAGGTCTCTCGCGTGCACAGCCCAGGCGGCGCTGTGCCGATGTGCCTTCTGCGCGGAGGCACTCCACAAGGCCTGTGAGTGTCTCGACGAGGTCGGGGACAGCGACGAGGCCCTGGTCACACACGTCTGGAGAACATGGTGGCAAACCAATTGTTTCGTCCAGATGCGTCGTAATGTTTCAAGCTCTGACTGCTCCCCAACCTCCCTGTGGATGACACCCCCTCTAAAATCGCTTCGAAAAATAGTTTCAGGTGCTCTGTAACAGCTCTAATGTAGACGAGTTCGACCCTTGCCTAACTTGATCTGGCCGTCTCGCATCTCCGTCGGTCGAGATGTCTTGTCCATTGTGTTCTCACGATCGCGGACCTCAAAACGGATCACAAACTGTTGGTACACCACTCGCAGGTCTTCGGGAACCCACCAGCAGGTGCCGATGGTGCAGATTCCCGGCGGGAGGAGGTGGCATACTCCACGATTATGTTTGCCCGCGTGTGGACGTTTTGTTTGCCTCGGTTTCCCCCGCCTTTTTCCCTCGTTCGCTTCCGCCTCGGCCGTCGGTCGTCTCCGTAGTCTCGGTCCCGGTCCGCTCCCTCAGAGAGTGTCCATCGCCTGCCTGTACGATACCACGTTTTCGGTTTGCCGCACGTGGGCGGCCAGACTCAAGCAGACGGCGAAAAGGTCGCCTGCAGTTGGCTGACGAGCTTGGCCCGCGGCAGCGTCGCTCCTCCTCCTCCTCCTCCTCCTCCTCCTCCTCCTCCTACTCTCCTCCTCCTCCTCCTCCTCTTCCTCCTCCCCCTCCCTCCCCTCCTCATTCCTCCTGCTCCTCCTCCTCCTCCCCCTCCTCCTCCTCCTCTCCTCCTCCCTCCTCCTCCTCCTCCTCCTCCTCCTCCTCCTCCTCCTCGGCCCCCTTCACCTCCGCATTACCCTCCTCCTCCTCCTCCTCCTCCTCCTCCTCCTCCTCCTCCTCCTCCTCCTCCTCCTCCTCCTCCTCGTCCATCCCCTGCATCCCGCCCCCCCTCCCCCCCATCCCCTCTCTCCCTCCCCTCCCTCCATGGCTTCACCCCTCCCTCCGACCCCAGGAGGTGACGGCGCCCCGCTGTGCAACGAGCCCTGCGCCCCGGGGCTCCCCCCTGCGCTGGCGCGCCGGCGGCAGCTGCAACCCGGCGCGGCCGCGGACGCGGCGCAGGCCGCGTCGGGTCCTATGGGTCGGGCGATCGGGTTGCGGGCCGATCGCGCGTCCACTTGTCTCTGGGTGGGGGTCGCTCGGCCTCAGGGCCGTCGGTCGGCCTGCTGTTAGGATCTCCGCAGGAGGCCAGACTCGACGACCTCAAAGGGTATGGTTGCGCAGGGGCCTGAGGAGCACGAAACTGGCGGGACTCCAGAGACGGGAGTGTCAGTGCAAGCGGGGGTCAGACAGAGCGCCGGATCTTGCAGGATCATACAGAGCCAGGGTCGCATTGACCCAGGCTTGGGTGCAGGATCCTGCAGGATTCTTCAGGACCTTGCAGGTGCCTGCAATGCCTGACTGATCCAGGTCTGGGGCGCGGCGGAGAGCTCTGTCGAGGTCCTCGCCCGCCCCCCAGGGTGCCCCTCAAGGTGCTGGTTGCAAACCGCAGCCTCTGCAAACCACACTCTTCGGAGTCGCCTGTACTGTGAAGGAAAGCTATGAGCGGATACCAGGGTGCAGATCTCTGGCCTAAACTGGTTCACCAGGGGGTAACAAGTGCCCAGCGAAGAGGGTGTAATATCTGGGCTAAGTGGACTCCGCCCACTTAGCGGAGTTACGCGACCTCCAAGGCCAAATGGGGCCCTTGTACCCCACCAATATCCCATGTGAAGCCAGATATAGCCCACCTTGGCATCCGCCTTGAACTCCCCTATCCGCTGAGCAACCCCGCGGCGATCCCAGTGGGGACCCCCCGCCCCTCCCGGCAGCGGCCCGCCCGGGAGCGAGGAGCGAGGAGTGGCGAGGAGGACTGGTCCGGGGGAGGTTCGAGATTCGAGGCTCCGGGGTTCTCGGACGCTGGCCTCGCTGCAGCCTCGGGATGCTCTCGCCGCCCCGCCGACGGCGCCCCGGGGCTGCTCATGGATCGTCCCGAGCGGCGGCCGGAGGCCCGAGGCGTGGCCGGGAACTTCGGCAGCGACATTGAGGGGGGGGGGATTGGCTCGGGGAGGCATGCAGCGACCTCCAATCGCCCACTCCACGCCTGCAGGGGCCTGAGAAGTGGCCCACCCTGCCCAGGAGCATGCGTTTCGTTTCTCGGGGACCTGTCGCAAATCTTCGGGTTGGCCCAAAAGAGGGTCCAACGACCAGGGGGTGGTGCAATAGATTTGGTGCAATGGATTTGCAAGGTTGCAATACATCTGGGGCGTGCAACACATTCCCGGGCGCAAATGTACTGCTGGATTTTCGCGTGCAGTACATTACCTGCGATGCAATGCAATACAATTCTCGGGCGCAATACATTTGCAACACAATTGCCCTGAAAACATTGCACCACCCCCCTTTCAGCTGGATCCCCTCTTGGATCGACCAAATCCAGGTCGATGGTTCTTTCCAGAGCCCCCATCCGAGCGCTGCACACCGGGACTTTCTCGGAGGAAGCATGGAGAACGGTTCGGACCGCGGTTTCAGGTTGACTCGCGAGCGCGCCAGCGTGCCCGGCTGGTTAGATTTAAGTCGGGCCTGTCCCTCTACAGGAGGAACATTCCAAATTAGTTTAAAAAATAGTATGAGGACGATCTGTTGAGCATGTTTAAGTTATGTTTGGGTTTTCTGTTGACTATCATTAAAAGTTCTTCCAGAATCCGCTTGTAGGGTGACATGCCCGACCTAATATCATATTCCTGGCTGACGGGGCATTAACGTCCCTCCTCTTTCTTAACCGTTACTCCGACATCGACAGCTGCTGGCCACTGCGTCTGCGAAAAAGCATGGCACTTGATCTGCAGTCGGGCACAACGGGGCAGCAGGAAAAGAGGGATGGCAAAGAAGACAGGGATTGAGAGGGAGATCCAGGTCATGTTTCTGTCGGCGCGACAAGGAGTTCTCACCACACTCTGGTCCTTCTCCTCCTCCTCCTCCTCCTCCTCCTCGGGGTCCTGGGGCAAATGGGTCCTGAGATTTTGCGCCGAGCCTCTAATCTCCCTGGGCCCTCCTCGGGCTCCTTCGTCGCCACGGCTGGACCAGACGCGGCTAGGCCGGGAGGGACCCCGAGAGGGGCGCGGGGGCCGATCTTAATGTTTAGGTCGGTCATGTCCCCTTACAGGCGGATTTCGGACGAAAATAATAACATATCCCAACCATACTCCAACTATCTATATTCTGCATATCTATGTACATGTGTATATATATATATATATATATATATGAACGAGAAAACATCCCAAAATTATGTGTGACATATTTTTGAATATTCCCCCTGTAGAGGGACAGGCCCTTTTTAATCTTAAGCGGCGTCTGCCCAGGCCTCCCCAGTCCAAGCAGCCTGCGCTTCACAGTACCCGCACCCATGCCTTGCGGGGACCTGATACCTAAACCTCGGAGGCCTAGAGGTTGGCACTAATGCCAATATCGGCGGTGGCTTCCACCGAGGGGGGAGGACCCCGATTTCGGCGACGGTGGTAAAACTCAGGCCTCACAGGCGGCCCAAGAATTACCGCCAGCACCGAAATAAGACCATCCTGCTCGGATCGGCGCTGGGCCCTCCTCCCCGGCGTGCGGAGCGCGCCAGGGGCGGGGCCGGAGGCGCCGCCAGGGGGCTCCAGCGCCAATCCAAGAACTCCGCGCGGACCTCCGAGTTGCTGTGCTTGTGTCATTGCTTGTTCCCCGAAGGCCTCCAGTTACTCCAAATCCCTCATTAATCGTCCCCCGGGTCCGGTTTTTTAAGGCGCCTTTTTTTGAAACTGGGGGGGCCCGTTTATTAGGGCGCTTTCTTTGGACTGGAACTTGGGGGGTCCGGCTTATTAAGGCGCCCCGTCGAAGAGGGGGGTCCTGAATATGAGGTCGCATTCGGAGGAGGGCCCGGTGTTTTTTTTGGGGGGGGGTCGATTTCTAAGGGATTTGGAGTACTGCGGCACCGCGGGTGTGCGATCCCGTGGAGGCGCTCCGCGCGAGGCGCCCCCTGCGCTCGGGGAGTGCAGCGCCCGGGCGCGCGCCTCCTGCCCCGCCCGGGGTCTCGCGATCCAAGGGGGGGGTGCCCTTCGTCGCGAGGCCCTGAGTGCGGGCGCGTCCCCGGTGGGTGCCTGCGCCGAAGGGCCCCCGCCCCGCGGACCCGGATCTCCGGCAACCTGACTTTGGCGGTCCGGGCTTTCTTCACAGATCCGTAAGGGCTTCGCCCCATGCCGCCGGCCCCCTTGTCTCGGAGAGTGGGAGATGGAAAGGCTAAAGCGTGAGGTCTGGGCGCCGCCGTGAAGCAGTGTCGGGACCTGTTTGTTCCCCACATCCTAGGTGGGGTTCTTCTTTTCTCTGGACACCCTCCGCGTAGGATCTCCTCACCCCCCTCTCTCTTTCTCTTTCTCTCTCTTTATCTTCTTCTCTCTGGCCGTCATCATCATCAGGCATCATCACGCATCATCATCATCTTGTTCATCACTACCATCATCACCCCCGCACCCTTTCACTCACCATCGTCATCATCATTACCCATCGTCACTACTCATCATCATCCTCGTCATCGTCACCATCTTCATCATCATCACACTCATCCACACTCACACCCATCAGCAACATCATCATAATTCGATCAATACTCGCCATTACCATCCTCATCCTCATCAGCACCATCATCATCATCATTCTGTCACTCATCATCATCATCATCATCATCACCACTCATCATCATCAGCATCATCCTCATCACCACTCGCTCACTCATCACTTCGTAATCATTCACCCCTAGCCTGAATCTGAAGGACGCCTAGAGCGGGAGCCTCGTCTGTGAATGAATTGTGAGGAAGTCTCAGGCGGGACCCCCTTTCATATGGGTCCCGCACTTCATGTTGGTAATCCGAGCCGGGTCATCCTCAAACCTGTAACCGTCGTCACTGTTGGGCTCCTGAGGCCTGAATCCGGAGGAAGTACCAAGCGGGAGCCTCGTCTGTGGGTGAATCCTGAGGAAGTCTCAGGCGGGATCCCCCTCTCCCTGTGGGGGCCGCACTTCATGTTGGTAATCCGAGCGGGTCATCCAAAGCGTGTAGCTGTTGTCAATTTTGGGCTCCTGATGCTTGAGTATGGAGGAAGTATCCGGCGGAATCCACGTCTGTGAGTGACTTGCGAGGAAGTCTCAGGCGGGAGCCTTTTCCTTATGGGGCCGGCTCTTCATGTTGATAATCCGAGCGGGTCATCCTCAAACCTGTAACTGTCGTCACTTCTGGGCTCCTGAAGCTTGAATATGGGAGAAGTATCAGGCGGGAGCCTTGTCCGTGAGTGAATTGCAGGGAAGTCTCAGGCGGGAGCCGCCTCCCTATGGGGCCCGCACATCACGTTGGTAATCCGAGCGGGTCATCCTCAAACCTGTAACTGTCGTCACACTCGGGCTCCTGAGGCTAGAATATGGAGGACGTCTCAGGCGGGAGCCCCCTCTCCCTATGGGGCCGCACTTCACGTTCGAATCCGAGGCGGGTCATCCTCAAACCTGTAGCTGTCTTCGCTTTTGGGCTCCTGAGGCCTGAATATGGGGGAAGTATCAGGCGGGAGCCTTGTCCGTGAGTGAACTTCAGGGAAGTCTCAGGCGGGAGCCCCCTCCCTATTGGGCCCGCACTTCATGTTCGAATCCGAGGCGGGTCATTGGATTCTTGTAGCCGTCGTCACTTTTGGGCTCTTCAGGCCTGACTGTGGAGTCAAGCGGGGGCCTCGTCTGTGAGTGAGTGGCGAGGAAGTCTCAGGCGGGAGCCTCTCTTTATGGGTCACGCACTTCATGTTGGGAATCCGAGCGGGTCATCCGAGCGAGCTTTTTGGGTTCCCGCATGCGCGAGGGCAGGCCCTTCCCACCAAAGGTCTGGTCTGCCTGGGAGAAGACGTTGGCCTTGGACAGCCAGGGCGTCCTGGACCCTCGGCACCAGCACGAGAACTTTCTGCTCGGCTACGGCATGGGCATCTACTGGGAGACGCTGGCGAGGTGGATCAACACGCGTGCTCGTCGCGACGCTCGGCGTCTGGGCGTGCCCCTCGTTTTCTTGCACACCGTGGACGAGTGCGGCACGATTCAGGGCGATCCCGACGCGGGCTGGCGCCTCCTGAACGTCCCGAACATCATCCACGGCGTCTTGCTGGCCCACGTCGGCATGGAGGTGCGATTCACGGCCGTGCAGGACGAGCTGAATAAGAAGTTGGGGCTCGTGCAAGAGCAACGGGTCACCATCGCTTCCTTCGAGTTTAGTTAGAGGACGAGCGAGAGTACGAGGAGCGCGCGCCGGGCCAGCTCTTTCGCCCCCGCTACCTACCGCAAAGAATCTGGCTGCCGGCGCACGGCTTCCAGGAGCCCCCGATCTACCAGGAGGTCGCCGAGGTGCTGCTGCAGAATGCCGAGGGCGCTGACGACGACGGCGAGGCCAAGGCGCGGGCGAGGAGCTTGCTCATGTTCAGGCCGAGTGAGCAGCAGTTCACGCGGCAGAGCTCGGGGGCGCACACTGCGCGCCGCTCGGGGTTCACCTTGACGCACGCGCCCGACTTGACTTCGACGCTGTCGCAAGGCCAGACGCTGCGCAAGGGCGCCACCATCGACTGCGCCAGGGATGAGGACGCTGGCCCCGCGGGCATGTCGGACGAGCAGTGGTGGCTGCGCCTCTACGTCATGTTCCCCCGCGCCACGCGCGTGCGGAACATGCTGATCCTGCGGCCGCCCGCGCGAGAGTTCCTGGAGCGCGGGCCGCCGGCGCCCCTGCGGAAGGCGCCCCAGGAGTTCGACAAGAGAGTGGTGGACTCCAGGGCAGAGGCGGAGCAGCTCGCGGCAGAGCTGGGCCCCGTGCTGCCTCGCGCCTGAGCGCCGCGGCGCGCGCCTGGAGGCCCGCGGGGTTGTCCAAACGGTTTGGCCCGCGGGGCTGCCCCGACGGCCTGCCCTCGCGCCCCGGCGGCCCGCGGGATTGCCCCGAAGGCATGGCTGGCCCGAAGGGCTGCCCCGGTGGCTTCGCGATCTACCCGTCGGCAAACGCGCGCGCGCGCTGGCCGAGGCGACGGCGCCGAGGAAAATTTAGGCGCTTCCCCCGACCAGGGGGAAGGGGAGGTGCACATGGAGAAGAGGCAGGTGGAAGACGAGGAGGGAAGGGGCGGGGGGAGGGCGATGACGAAGAGGACGTGGAGAAGGAGGAGGAGGGGGATGAGGATGAGGAGGAGGAGGAGGAGGAGGAGGAGGAGGAGGAGGAGGAGGAGGAGGAGGAGGAGGAGGAGGAGGAGGAGGAGGAGGAGGGGGGGGGAAATAGAAGAGGGAAGAAGCGAGGGCTGAGGAGAGGGCGAGAGGAGGGTGTTTGCCATGGCCGGGAGGAAAAGGATAAGGGCAAGCTAAACAGATGATCATGCGGGGTCCTTCCGTCGGAGTATTTTTTCGACCTTGGCCGTGCGGATCTGCGTGAGGGGTTACAGCCTGGTGGCCCCACAAGGAGGCCGGCGGATTTCACCCTCCGAGGCTCGCTCCCTGGCCTCGGGACTCGAACACGAAGCTGGGGCGAGAAAGAGTGCCTTGCGGAGTGGTCTGGGAGTTTTGGGGCCACGCAGTGGAAAACCACATCGTCCCATGTCTGGGTACATAGCGCAGGGTGTGCCTTTCTGCACGGTGCACAGCATCGTCCCATGTACGGTGCTTTTTGCGGGTGGGTCCTCCGGAGGTCTCTGGAGGTCCACACGATGAATACCCCAAACGCGTTCAACCGTGTTTCAGAGCCCCCCCCCGCTGGTTCATCCAGGAGGTGTCCAGAGGTCCCGAAGGGGTTTGCGGAGGTCCAGAGGCCCTCAAAAAGTCATGCGCATGCCAAGCACTTACTCAGGGATGCACGTCAAGGGCCCAAGGGCAACATCAACGAGCCCCGCCAGAGCCAACTCTTATCAGAACAAAAAGCATGCCATTGTTTTAAAGCTTAGTTACCAAAACAGAAAGAACATAGTTTGTGTATATATATATGTATATATATATATATATATATATATATATTGGAGGCCATGGCGTTGCACAGCGCGTGGGCCATCGGACGGGGCGGAAATGAGGTGGAGGGGACAGCGCAGAGGGACGACGACGAAGGGGAGGCAGAATTGGTTGAAGAGGAGCCATTATGCGCACAAGTGCCCCGTAACATCTCTGAGAGCGAAGAGGGCGAGGTCCCGTGTGGCCCTGCGTATTTCCTCGTAGCACCGCGCTCCGCTTGACCCACCAGGGGCGCGGCGAAGTGGCGACAGCCTCGCGCCGAGCAGCACCCGCTGCGCTGGACCTCTCCGGGGCGCAGCAGCACGGCGGCAGCTGCGCGGGGCCAGCGCCCGGCGAGGGCGAGGTCTCGTCCCGGTGCGCGCTGCGCCGCGCTCTGTTGGAGCAGCAGGGTGGCGACAGCTGCGCGCTTGGCGGCACACGAGAGGCAGCGAGGCGGGGAGGATGGGGCAGAAGTGCAGCGAGGAGGAGGAGGAGGAGGAGGAGGAGGAGGAGAAGGAGGAGGAGGAAGAGGACGAGCGGGGGCGGGGGGCGGGAGTGAGGTCGAGCAGCGCCCCATCCACAACGAGTCCCCAGCAGCAGGAGGTCTGGGAAGGAAGAGGGAGCGGGGAGGGAGGAACGGGGCGGGGGAGGAGGGAGGCCGCAGCAGGCCAGGGTTAGTCGGGCCTGCCCCCCTTCAGGAGGAATATTCCAAAATAGTCAAAACATAGTGTGGGGACGATTTCTCTAGTATTTCTTTGTTAGTTTTACCATTTTGAGTTTTTTGTGATTATTTAAAATTCGTCCTCCAAAATCTGCCTCTAGGGGGACATGCCCGACCTAAGGCCAGAAAGGGAGAAACAGCGCCCTTCTCGAAACGAGCGCCCAGCGCAAGAGAGAGGGACGCGCCCAAGGACCTCGGCCATTCATCGTCGGCCCTCGATACTGGACCCTCGATCGACGACGAAGCCGACGACGAAGCCGACGCCGACCCTCGATCGACGACCGCTGGCGACGACGACGACGCTGTCTCCAACGCCGACCCTCCATCGACGACGACCGACGACCACAGCCGGCCGAAGACGACGCCGACGACGACCGAAGACGACGCCGACGACGCCGACGGCGCCGACGGCGCACGGACCCGCGGCCTCCCGCGCGGCCGGCCGCGCCTGCCGAGGCAGACCGCTGCGGCGCGGCGCGGCGCGGTGTTGCGCGGCGCGGCGCGGCGCGGCGCGGGGCGTTCGGGCGGCCGCGGTCCGCGCGCGGCCGGCGTCGGTCGTCGGCGTCGTGGCCGTCGGTCGCCGCCCTCGGCGCGGCGCGGTGCGGCGCGGGGCGGCGCGATGACGCGCGCGGGCAGGAGAGCGCGGAGGGCCGGCCCTGGGAGCGCCCGCCTCGGGAGCGCTCCTGCCCTGGAGCCGCCGGCGCTGGCGACTGACGACGACGCCGACGACGCTCCTCTCCTCCTCCTCGTCCTCCTCCTCCCTCCTCCTCCTCCTCCTCCTCCTCCTCCTCCCTCCTCCTCCTCCTCCTCCTCCTCCTCTCCTCGTCTCCTCCTCCTCCTCCTCCTCGTCCTCCTCCTTCTCTTCTCCTCTTCCTCTTCCTCCTCCTTCTCCTCTTCTCCTCCTCCTCCTCCTCCTCCTCTTCTTCTTCCTCCTCCTCCTCTTCTTCCTCTCCTTCTCCTCCACCTCCTCCTCCTTCTGCTTCTCCTCCTCCTCCTCCTTCTCCTCCTCCTCCTCCTCCTCCTCCTCCTCCTCCTCCTCCTCACTCTCCTCCCAGGGGGGGCGAAAGAGTAGGATAGCAAAGGGTAGGGTAGAGAATTCGCTCGCGCAGCTGGTTTTCCTGGCGTCTCCTGGCGCTTGGAGGCGCCCATCTATCCAGAGATGGGCCCGGCGGCGGGGCCGAAACTTTGCCGATCGGCGCGGGCCCTCGCAAACCCCCTCCCCCTCATGGAATAGATCTTGGCTGTTTTTGGCACCTGTTTCGAGCAGGTGGGGTCTCCCCCATAGGACGCACTGTTTGCAAACAGTCGCGTTAAGCAGAGGTCCGGAGCCAGGCCCCCCCCCTCCCCCCCTTCCGCCCAATGTCGAAACGCCGAATAAGAAAACGTTCCCCTCGCAGCCCTCGGTTCTGGGCCCCCTGGGCGCGCGTTCCATGACAAGGGTGCGCTCTGGGTGATGCCCTCCGGTGCTCACTGGAGCCGCCCAGGCGCTTCGCATCCTCACACCAGGGAGCTGGATCACATCGGGCCCTGCCTCCCGCCTCCGCGTCCGTCGTCGCCCGCTCGCCTGTGCTTCCTCTCCCGCCTCCTCCGCGGGGCTGCACCGACAAGCCGGGGGCCAGCGGCTGATGGGGCCCACGGGACCTTCCTCGGGCACAGAGTCGGGCCAGGGGCCTCTTCCGCGAGCTCCGCCAGGCCCGCGGCGCTGAGCTGGCACGCCCCACGACGCGGCCCCAGACATGCGACGTCCTGATGTCTGTTCGGGCGTCGTCCCTGGAAGTCCCGACCCTTTCCCCAGGGCCGGTTTCTCATCCCGAGTCGTTGCTTGACGGTCCTGGGGTCCGGCGAGGGCCGCTAGAGGTCGAAAATGGCGAAGCACCTCCCGTCCTGATTTTTTTCACGACGCGACCATGTCTGGGAGTGCATCGGGGGGCGGCTGGCGAGTGCCGAGGCGGGCTCGAGCGGGCCTGGCCTGGCCTAGGGCAGTGCGCTCCAGGCGCCCCTGAAGGGGCTCCTGGGTGGCCGCGGAGTCCCCCCCTGGGGGCCTCTAGAGGTCGAAAACAGCGACAAGCCTCCCGCCCCGATTTTTGTCACGGCGCGATCCTGTCTGGGGCTGGCCTGGGCAGGCGCCAGGGAAAGCCGCGCGCGGCCGGTGGCACTCGGAGCCTCCGCGGCTCGGCACGCGGGGCCTCCGCGCGCGCGCCTGCGGCGCGTGGCCTCTTCAGGGTGCTCCGCGCGTGGATACCCCCCAGCACATGGGCAGGTCACACTGCTGGGAAGCGTCCTGGGGGCTCTAGCCCGCCGAGAGCAAGGAAAAACCGCCGAGGAGCGCCGGGCGCCGCTCAGAGCCCGAGGGTGGGGCCCTTCTCGACCTGCAGCCAGGCGGCCACCAGGAGGCCCAGGAGTGCGGCCGCGCGTGGATATCCTGCCAGGCTCCACTGCAGATGCCGCGCTTTATGTCGGGCGTGTCCCCCTACAGGGGGATTTTCTACGAAAAATGAAGCATACCCAAAAATACCCGAAAAAGGTCCAACAAATACTTTACAAAATAGTCCCCATATTATTTTTAGACTATATTTTGAGCATGTGTGGGGTATCTGTTATTTCTCGTCCAAAATCCCCCTGTAGGGGGACAGGCCCGACTTAAGCCGCGCTCTCCGGCCCAGCCGGCTTCCACTGGAGGCCGTCAGCACACTCAGCCAAGCAGCGGCGAAGCGTCCTGGCGCGCCTATAGGCCTAGCAAGCAAGGTTCTGAGAACTTGTTTGTGGTTTCCCCGACGTGTTCTCGAGAGCACTTCTGGCTGGGGCTGTCTTGTCTGAACGCATCGGGCTTATGTTCTAAGAACACTGCTTCCGTTCTTAGGACTTTTTGGGGCTCTGAGAGCATTTCGTGGTAGGCCCATAGGAATGCCGGGACGGTCGGTCCCTGCTCAATTCAGGGACAGCATGTGGTCAGGGGGGGTGAGGCTCAGCGAGGGACTCATCGCCCCCGAATTGTCAATCGTCAATGCTGGACGCTTCGCGTAAGCCCACCGGCCCATCCAGGGGCGATGCCCAGACGAGTGGCCCTGATCAGGAGTGTGGAGGGTCATGCGGTGGAGCAAAGGGCTGGGTATGACGTCGCGCCCCAAGAATGGGGAGGATGGAGGAGGAGGAGCGGGAGGGGGACGGGGAGGGGGAGGAGGGAGGAGGGAAGAGGATGAATAAGCGGATGAGGGAGAGGAGGAGGAGGAAAAGGAGGAGGAGGAAAAGGAGGAGGAGGAGGAGGAGGGCGATCAGGAAGGCCAGAGGCCTCTTTGATGCCTCCCGGAGTCTATTCGGATGTTTCTTGTGAGCTTCTTGGGGTCTTTTTTGGGGCGTTTTGGGGGCCTCTTGGCGGCCCCAGGGGCCTCTTGGAGCGTTGGGTGCCTCCTCGAAGCTCGGCGGTTTCTTGGGAGCCGCTTGGGGGCCTTTGGGGGGCCTCCTGGGGCCTCCAGGGCGCTTCTTGGGGCACTCTTGGGCCGCCCTGGGGGGCCGTTTTGGGGGCCATCTGGGAGGGGAGATCGCTCAATGAAGGGGGGGACTTGATGAGCGTCGCCCCCCCCCCAACGAGGCTAAGGGGGCCGCAAACCAGGGGAAAATCCATCACCTGCGCCCTCTCGCCGATCCCTCTTGGACGCTCCCCTGGGTCGCGCCCCCCCCCCCTCCAGACCCAGGGGGTGGGGGCAGTAAAAGGGGCCAACCCTTCCCCGAAGGGTTAAGTCGTGCATGTCCCTCTACAGGAGAAGAGTCAAAACTAGTCAAAAAATAGGCTGAGGACGATTTCTCGACCATTGCTGACTTGTTTTGAATGTTTGTTTGACTATGTTTCATCTTTGTTCCAAAATCCGCCTGCAGGAGGACATGCCCGACCTAACCGAAGGGTGAGAAGGGGGCTGGAAGGGGAGGCTCTCTCAACTTGATGGGACTCATCGCCGATAGGGCGCCCGATGGCCATCGCAAAAATCAGGTTGGAGATCTGGGTACACGCAGGTCGTCGGAAGTATGTATTTCTGGACGCCCAGATTCCAAATCTACTTCAAGCGCCGATATGTTTCTGCTGCGCGCTCTCTCTCTCTCTCTTTCTTTATTTCCCGCTTTTTCTCTCTCTCTCTCTCTCTCTCTCTCTCTCTCTCTCTATATATATATATACATATATATATGTATATATATATATATATATCATTCGTGAGGCGGGCGCGCGCCCGATCTGCTTCGCGCGGCGTCCCACTCCACGCTCCCACCTGCTTCCTCCGACAGGCGGGCCTCTCTTCCTGCGCCAGGCGGGCCTCGCGGCACTCCCCAATTCGGCGCCCCCGCGCGTGCTCGCCCGCCGCCGCTGCGGGCCGCCGCCCGCCCCGCGCCCGCGCGCGCGACCGCCCGCGCCAGGCCCGCGGGGAGCGGGGCCCCGCCGGGCCCGCGGGGCCGGCGCCAGACGCCCGACCCCGGGGCTGCGTCGGGAGCCCGTTGTACATTCGGGGGTGCAGGCTGGGCAGTCGAAGGCCAGACTGTCAGATTGGATTGGGCCCCAAGGGCCAATCGGGCCTGGCCAAGCTTGATGATTTGGGTTCTTCGCCAGACCAGATTCGCGTGGGCTCCCTCGCCAGATGGCCCCTGTTTGCCAGGCTTGGGCCTGCCAGATTGGCGCCAGATTGGCTTCGGCTACCCAGGCAGGGCAAGCGGGGGGGCCGCCCGAGCGCCGGAGCTCGCGAGAGCCTGTGCTGCGCCGGGGGCCTGCACTGGCCCCAGGCTGGGGCGCAGGGTGGACAGACCTCCTACCCTCACACGTCGATCAGTGAATTGTCCGTTTTCGGTTCTCGAGAGGGCGCCGCGGCCGTCATTTGCCAGGCTTGCGCCCGCCAGGTCTGGGCCCGAGGTCGTTTTCACGAAACCACGTTTTGCTAAAGGGAAGTCTGTCCACCCCCGAGCGCAGGGCAAGCGGGGGGGCCGCCCGAGCGCCGGAGCTCGCGAGAGCCTGCGGCGCCGGGGGCCTGCGCTGGCCCCCGGCTGGGGCGCAGGGTGCTGCGGGAGATCGCGCAGGAGCCTGCGGGCTCCCGCAGGGCCTGACTGGCCCGGGTCTGCGGCGACCCAGGTCTGTATAGAGCCCCACGGTCGGTGACTCCAGAGGGTATGGTTGCGCCGGGGTGTGGCGTGCGGTCGGCGCCGCGGGGGCCTGGGGAGCACGACGCCGTCGCCCACCCCTCAGGGCGCACCCTCGGGGTGCGGGGTGCAAGCCACACCCTTCGGAGTCGCCGATGTTGGGACCGCCGCGGGGGTTGGCCAAGTGGGCAGGGGGCTACGAGCGGATGCCAACCCTGAGATCTTGGCGTCTCGATGTGTTCGAGCCCGGCGTTTTCGCCCGGTTGCTCGGGTCCCGAGGCCCGCATAGATCGATCCGGCTCGAGGAGTTGCTTGGAAAGATGGGGCGGAGGGTTCCGCTTGCGAGTGTTTGCGATGCTTCCACCGTTGTCGCTCCGTCGGATCTCAGGGAAGGTGGGTCCCCAGACATGCGACGTCCTGATTTTTCCAGGACGGCGTCCCCAGAAGTCCCGACCCTTTCCCCGGGACCGGCTTGTCATCCCGAGTCTTTTTTTTGACGGTCCCGAAGCCCGGAGAGGGCCTCCCGGGGCCGAAAATAGCTACAAACCTCCCGTTCGGATTTTTTTACGACACGATCACGTTTGGATCATAATGTATCTGGTCCCATCCCTTCCTCCCCCTCTCCCTTTGGCTGCGTTTCAAGTTTGAGGGTCAGTCACGGAGCTTGGTCTCCGCTCGCAAAATCTGCATCCTCAGTGCAGTTAGTATGTGGCCAGGGAAGAGGCCCCTGGAGGGCACGGCGGAGTCTGCAGAGAGGAGTCACCATGTCACGAAGTTGTCCAACTTCATCGCGGAAACAAATCTATCTGGCCCCATCCGGATCCTCAGAATGGGCTCCAGGTGCCCTGATTGGGTGTCGCAGGGGGGTGTGGATGCCCGGGCCGACCACTTGCGCAGGGGGGGGGGCTCCGCGGCCCCCCAGGAGCCCCTTTCAGGGGCTCCTGGAGCCCACTGCCACAGGCCAGGCCGGGCCCGCTCGAGCCCACCTCGGCCCTCGCCAGCTGCCCCCCGATGCACTCCCAGACATGGTCGCGTCGTGAAGAAATCAGGACGGGAGGTGCTTCGCCATTTTCGACCTCTAGAGGCCCTCGCCAGCGCCAAGGACCGTCAAGAAACGACTCAGGATGACAAAGCGGCACGGGGGAAGGGGTCGGGGCCTCCAGGGGCGCCGTCCTGGAAAAAACAGGACGTCGCACGTCTGGGCTTGGAGCATTCCAGCAGATGGGCCGCGCCCTCGAGGATCGAAGGAGTTGCCAGCTCTTCCGCGGCGGCAGGGCGGCGGCAGTAAAGCGGCGGCAGGCAGCTCCGCCGGCGGAAGCAAAGGTCGGCCGCCCAAGAGGTGGCAACATCGTGGGGCTCGGGGTTCCAGGCAGCCGCCGCTCTTCGCAGCCCCTCGGGGCTCTGCAGGCGGGGGTCGGCCAGCGCGCCGGACCTCGCGGGATGCTGCAGAGCCAGGGGTGCCACTGAGACGGGCCTTGAGCCCTAAATGTTGCCACATGTTTCTGTGCACCGGCGCATCGACGGGCATCTTTCGCCCAGGGATGCTGGGGATGCTGAAACCTCCACCTACCCCTGCCTACCAACCTGAAGCGGTGCACACTCTGTCAGAACACTCCAAGAGTCATCCCCAGGGTGTCTGTTCATGCCTGTTATAACGTGTACAACATGCTTGGAGGAAAGCTTAAAGGAAATCCCGACTTTGCCGAGACCGCCTCCGCTACCCCACTTCTGCTCTACTCTCCTGAAGACGCTCCTGAATTTAGCGCTTTCCCACTCCTTGTAATAGGGAAGCACCAGAAACGACGTCGCACTAGAGCTCCTGCCTCTGTTGGAAAACTGGGGATGGCAACTCTCATAAACATCGCTGGTATGATGTATTCCGTCACGGACTCTCACTCCAGAAAAGAATGTATCGATACAAGCTGCTGCAGATTTCTTGGTGCAACACAGTCTCCTGAATCTCCTCACCATGGCCGCCGGCCATGCGAGGTGAACGTGCACGGGGTGAGCAGAAGATAGGGAAAGAGGAGTATAGATCGAGGTCGGCTTGACGAAGCAGTAATGAGACAATCTGCCTGTGCGCCTCCATTCGTCATCTTTCCTCAATTCCACGTCAAGCATGACAGCCGATTCCACTCTCAAGCTTTCGACTTTGAGCTTGAAGAACTGGCTCCATATCCGCATCTCTCTTACGAAGGCGCCCCACTGCGTAGCGTGAGCGGCCCCGTCCAAAATGATGAAGAGATCATGCTTGAATCTTCCGTAAAATTTGATGCCGTATTGTCGCTGCACCCCAGCGTCTGTTGCGAAGTTCTCCTCAACCTGTTAAAACCCGCGTTCTTCACTAATTTCGCCGACAGACCGCTTGTTGTTGCGCCAGCGACGAGGAGGACCTCCACCTCCCCCCCCCTTTCCGTTTCCTTCTTTTTCACCCTTACTCTCCTCATTCTGGACCCCTCCCTCGCCGATGATTGAAATGTTGTCGCCGTCCTGGTCGTCGTCGTCCTCCCCTTCCCTGTCCCCTGTTTTCTCTCTCTTTTCGTCCTCTCCTTCCTTGTCCCCTCCCTTCTGTCTCCCCTCCGCCTCCTTCCCCGTCCGAAGGGGGCCAGGCACCTCGGCCACCTCGGACCGTCGGCTGGATCCGCCTCGTCTCCTGGCTACGGCGGGCCCGAGGGCCTGAGGGTGGACTGGGCCAGTCCACCCTCAGGCCAGTCTATCCTCGTCGCCAAGGTTGTCGTGCGCATGCACGGCGAGAACGGAATGGGTACGGAAATAACGGGTACAATGCTCAACAGCAGTCCCTGTTCATTTCAAACAGAACTCGACTCGCTGTCCGCGCCGCCGCGGCCTGTGTCCATTTGAGACAGGCCCCCTGCCCAACAGCGGTCGCTGCTGGTTTGGGACAACAAATTGTTGTCGGGCATTGTGCCCATTTTTCCGTGCCGATTTCGGGCGTTCATGTTCGCCGCCGCGCAGCCGCGCAGTGGCTCTCGCGCGCCGCGCGCCCCGCGCGCGGCGCCGCGGGGGCCGGCGCCGCCGCTGCGGCCCTGGGTGGCGACCCCAGGCGCCGAGGAAGGAGGGGAAGGGGAAGGGGGAGGAAGGGAAGGATATGGAGGGGAAGGGGGGGAGGACGAGGATGGGAAGGGGGAGGATGACGGGGCCGAGCAGGAGGACGAGGAGGGGAAGGAGGGGGAAGGGGGATATTCTGGACGCACGAAATTGGCACGGAAAAAATGGGTACACTGCCCAACAATAAATGTTGTCCCAAACTCCAGGCCAACAACGGCCGCTGTTGGGCAGGCGGGCGGACAGCGAGCCCTGCTCAAAATGAAGAGGAACTGCTGCGGGGCATCGTACCCATCTTTCCGTACCCATGTCTTTCGTGCCGAGATACGGCGGGGGAGGGAAGGACGGAGGGAGGGAGGGAGAGGATGGACGATGATTTCGGATTCCGATTCCGATTCGATTCGATTGGATTTCATATTCCGATTCGGTTTGATTTCAGAAGATGATGGACGATGTTTTCGGATTCAGATTCCGATCCGATTCGATTTCATATTCCGATTCAGTTTGATTTCAGATTCCGATTCGATTTGATTCCGAGTCGACTGATTTGATTCCGATTCCGATTCCGATTCCGATTCGATTCGATTTCGGATTCCGATTCCGATTCGATTTGATTTCGGATTCCGATTCGGATTGTGAATTCCGCTGTCTCAATGAGGCCGATTATGCTCCTCCCGACTTGTTTGTCGATTTCCGCCGATCCTGCTCCTCCCGACTTGTGTGTTCGTCATTGTTTTTATCATCTTAGTCGTGTTTGCCCTTCCCCTCCCCCGTCACTTCATCATCGTCCAATTCATGTTCCCAGCTGTCTTATCCTCCCACCTCTTGCTCGTCTTTCCCATGCTCACATCTTCCCCATCGTTCTATATCCCACTTCCCCTTCCTTTTTCTCTCCCGCCTCATCCTCCTCGCCACCACTCCCCCCCGCCCCGTCCCTTGCAGCCAGCGGCAGGCGCTGCTGTATTTCGACATCCTGATCTTCGACCTCTGCTTACTCGTCTTCCTATTTACCTAGGCGCCGTCTCCCTCACCTCCCCCCCCACCCCTTCACCTTCTTAGCCCACCCACCCTGAGGATGGATAGAGTGGTACTCGTATTCTTGATTTCCAGGGCCACGGATCGCAAGAACGTGGCGCGGGACACGTTTATATCATGTGCAGCCGATTCGAATTGGATCTCTGACTCAGGCCCTGATTCAGGAATAATGGGGGGACGGGGACGGTGGAGCGCCCTGCCCACCTGCCATGGGGAAAGGTTCGGCGTCGGGGTTCGAGGGGCCCCCTGCCCCGTTGTCCTGCCCACAGCCCCCAACCCC